CCAAAACAATGGAAACAAACTATCATTCAATACAGTTAAAAATGTAAATTATAAACTAATCAAGATGCCAAATACCATTTGCACTTGGAGGCAGAATTTTAACAAAACAAGCTGCAGAAAAACTACATATAAATAATACCTACGATAAAAAAGTATTACCTTGCGACTATAAGAAAATACACGATACAGAAGATACACATGTATTTACATAAATGAACAAAAATATTGGGAAGATTTACATCCTAGTGCTAACAGTGTTTGGGGTGGGGGGTGGGGGGTAGGAACTAATGGGACTTCAGCCATATGACTACTGTTTTGATTTTCAGTAAAAAAGAATATATCCATGTCTTACCTGTATAATTAAGAGTTAAAGTTGAAAGATTAAAAAATGTTATTTACTATGTATATTTCCACTAAGGGCTCTAAAACAGTATCAAAACATAAAAATTCCTTGTTTTTCTCACCATGCCTTTGGGTCCCAAAGTGCTCTTTACCAAGTCTCCAATAGCAATGGCACCAATAAAGGAAGACTGGAATAAAGATCAAAGAGATTGTAAAAATACATTCTAAGTCTTAAAATTGTAAAAGTACAACTGTATCTTTAAACAAATGAGGAAAACAAGGTTTACCAGACGAGCTGTCTCTGCTCTCTCTTCATCAGCACCAGCCTTGAAGATGTTGACAGGTGCAAGCGAAAGGGACGCCTAAAAAGAAAAAACCCACTTTGAATACAAATATTTTTTTAAAAAATTTTTAATTTCATCTTTTATATTTCAACTAGTGGCCCAGTGCACAAATTTGTGCACATTAAAAGGAAATTAATTAGAAGAAATGTTTTAATATTGCTCTTCGTCCTTTAGAAGAGTCAACCAAATTCACAAAGACAGAGCAAAACATCCAAGTGACTGGCATCAGCGAGAGCTTTATACGTATCAAGCATGTGCAAGTCAAGTTACCCTTTCACTGATAAAGAATAAACGTGCTTAATTAGACCTGCTTTCTGATTTAGCTAAACCTTCTTTTTTACAGAGAGGAAGAAAGAGGGAAGGAGAGTTAGAAACATTATGTGAGAGAATCATCGATCAGCTGCCTCTTGCACACCCCCTACTGGGGATGTGCCCGCAACCAAGGTACATGCCCTTGACCACAATCGAACCCGGGACCTTTCAGTCCGCAGGTCAACGCTCTATCCACTGAGCCAAACGGTTCGGCTTAGCTAAACCTTTTCCAGCCCAGGAAAGCACCCCAACTTCTCTTTCAGGTAATTGTCAGCAACACAGCAGGAAATATCAACACGAAGCACATTATTATTGTATATCATGCAGGGAGAACCAAGGGTAAAATATTTCACTGCAGCAGTGTTTGACTATATTCTATGCAGTGAGAAAACCTGAAGTCATTTTCAAGGTCCACCATTTCTTCTTTTCAGTCAGGCCAAGTTTCTAAACTTTCTAAACCTCCCTTTTCCACTGAGTCTCCTATCTACCTACTCCAGGACTTCTGTGATGATCAAATGAGGTGAGGAACGAAAAGGCTTCACAGACATTGAGTTAAAGTGTGAAATGTTTGCACATGGCTATAAAGCAAGTTGTGTTCCTGTGCTGAAGAAACTGCAAGGAGACTAGTCGCTAGGGAGAGGAATCCGTGCATTGCTATATGATGTCATTATCTGGAGGAAGGGAAAGACACTTAGCATATTAGCCTTTTATATAGAGAGTTGACATTCAGTATTATTTTACATTAGTTTCAAGTCTCCAGCATAGTGGTTAGACATTGATATAATTTAGAAAGTGATCCCCGGGTTAAGCCCAGTACCCATCCGAAAGCCAATATTTGTTAACACATATACTTACATGTCTTCCATTAGACTTACAAATGGGTAGACAAAAAATAAAATAAAAAAATTACATGACTGGACTTTTTCAAACAAATGGAAGTTCTCCATCATCCAGGCAGTCCCTCATTAAAGGGGGAGGAGGGAGGGGCTTCTAAACGCTGCCTAAGGAAGGCGACCTTTTATTTTGGATGCACAAGTGCTCCAGTAATAAAAATTACACACTAAAGAGACGGCCAGAAACAGCAAGACTAAAGATGGTTTTAAACTAAGAATACATCAGGCAGGGTGGTAGGCCGCTAACGGGCCAAGCGCCAGGCAGGAGGGACCGCTCCCGCCCCGCCGCCCCGGCTCCGCCCGAGGAAGGCGGGGCCAGGCTCGCCGATCCCGGCACTAGAAGTTTCTCCGCTGGAGGGGCGCCCCTGGCCTCGGAGTCCGGGGCTGTGGAGAGGCCGTGCCAGAGCGGGCCGCCGGCCGGGACGCCCACCCCAGCCGCCAGCCCCCGCGGAAGGCTTCCCCGCGGAAGGGGCGCAGGCCACACGCCACAGCGCGCACCATGTGCGGCGGCTCCCGGGCACAGAAACAGGGAGCCGACGGCGCCGGAAGGATCAGAGGGGCCGTGGGGCAGAAGGACACGGCGGGGAATGGCAGGACAGGGCAGCGGGGCCAGGCTCACCATGGTTCCGAAGAGGCGGCCACTCACGTTACTTGCTCACAGCTCGCGGCCGGGATCCGAGGGGGAGAGGAGCCGGATGTGACGCCACACGCTCTGCCGCAGGGGGCGGGGCCCCGCGGCGTGCCGCTCCGGCTGCGTGCCGCTCGCGGCGGAAGGGAAGGGAGCTGGGACGTAAACGTGCTCTTCACAGCGGGGGGCGTGACCCGGCTCCGCCCCGCCCCCGGCGGCTCCTCCGGCTCGCGCAGAGGAAGGGGCGGGTCTGACGCTGCGGGGTGGGCGGATGGGGAGGAGAAGCGCCTAGAACACGGACTGAGGCTGCGCCCCAGGTTTGCCGTAGTGATGGCGTTCCTGCTGGCAAGTTTTTCTTCAATTTAATCTTTAAAAATTTGACTTAAAGCACCATGTATACATATTAAAGTTATATACTAATAATGAACAACCTGATTCACCAACCTCATCACTTCCTCTTTGTTTTGGGGGGTTCCTTAGCATCAAATACCTAAGGAAGATTGTTATTGCTATTTTAATTTTAATTTTACTGAGTATTAGGGAGGAAAACACGTTCCTTTTGTTGAATTTTAAGATGCTGTTTTTATCTGGACGGTGACTGTCCAGGACAAGGCTTTCTGAACTCTAACGCAGACATTTACCTTTGCGCCGCTGGCCGTTCAAGAGGCTCTGCATTTCACTCCCCTCCTCCCCCCAACCCCACTAGAGTGACTGATTCATACTCGCAATAGTGTCTTGGTAGAAATCAAGATCAGTCCCAAACATTTCAGTTTTTCTACTTTCTCTAAATTGGCCCTTAAAAAAAAATTGTCTTCTATCACCTGCTGATAACCTTTTTTCCCATTTGATTAATTAAACGATTAGCAAGCTCTTGGGTTTTTGGCATTCGTTGTCATTTTCCGATTCTACCGGGTTAGTTTACACCAGGGATTGACAAACTATGGGGAGCCAAATCCCTCCTGTCTATCACCTGTTCTTGTGTGATGAGAGTAAAGAATGATTTTTACATTCTTAAATGGTTGAAAAAATTTAATTTCGTGATACATTAAAATTATATGAAACATATTTTGGTGTCCATACTTGGTTGGAACACAAGCGTACACATTCTTTTTTTATACTGTGCAATGCAATGGTTATACAATGGCAAAGCTGAGTAATTGTGATTGACTGTATAACCCATGAAGACTAATGTATTTATGGTCTTATCCTTTATAGAAAAGGTTTGCTCATTCTGGTTTACACTATTCCCAAAGCTTATCAATGAAGAGGGCTCTTCAGACTGGATATCAATTTGTTCCATTCATTGGTTGATTCTTGTATGTGCCCTGACCGGGCATCAAACCCAAAATCTTGGGTGTATCCAGAAAACACTCATTACTAGCATATGACCTAGTGCATGCTCATTCATTAAATAAAAACATGTGGATAGCTATTGTCTTCTAAGGAACTAAAAAAATACATAAATAATCCGAAGTTCTTAACTTCTGAGAACAAATACCTACACTTCCCAAGATTTGGTTTCTGCCACATCTTTACTATTATAGTTATGTGTTCTGTGGTGTCCGGCACATAGTAAGCACCCAATTGTTTGTGGACTTGCCTTTCCCCCTCATTGTTTAAGTCATTTCCATCTTGAGTGTATCCAAACGGGCTCTGCAGTGTCACTCAGTAACTAAAAACAGGTTTGGAGACCCAGAGCTAAGAACTACTTTGGATAACCACACATTTAAAACTGAGTCTGTCAAATACTTAAAATTTAATTTCACTTTGATGAAACATAAACCTTAACCCATTATATGTTCACTTAGAATGGAGGCCGTGATATGAGACAAGGAAATAAAACCTTTTATCATAGTTTCAAGAAATGTGTGAAAAATACAGTAAAACTATAAATAGGTATCCAAGCTTTTATTGGGGCTTTATTGCAATCTACTTTCATCAGTAAGAGGAAAGTATAATCAATCATAAGAACTCCAACCAGATTTCATTCAACAACTTAAGGTCAGTGTATAGTCAGTCTGCTCAGTTTCCAATATCAACTTTAGTAACTCATCATGGAAATTTAGGCCAGAATGACAACAGTAAGCCATCACAAGATCCTAAATCCTCTAAGATTAAACCATATTTTACATATAACTTTGGGACAGTATACTAATACTCTATAATGAGTAAAGATTTAAAAAAATATATTTTAAAAATGTGCTGCTTAGCCCTTGTTGAACTAAATTCAATTATTAGCATATTCTTTACTCCAGTTACTAAAGGTCTGATTGTACTTCAAGAACTCTGACTTTTCCAGAGATTACAAATTAGTTCTTATTTGTTATGACAAAAATTAAGCTTAAAAGCACATTCACACTTGTCCTTAAAAGCATGCTTACGTCATACGAGATAACTTCTCATGCCTGGAGTCATGGTTCATATGGCAAAAACAGAGGGTAATTCTCCCATTTCCACATCCTCCAAAAAGCCACACTCGGCCTCAGTGTAAAAGTTATATTTTATTGCCATGCTACAAAATGTATGAAGTTGGCACTGATAGGGAGAAACAGAGAACAAAGGGCGGGGAGGAAGAGAGGGCAAAAGATGTTGTTACATATACAACAAGGTTTTAATCAACAGTGGTAAATTTTGCCAATATTAAAAATGCAAAGCAAATTTAAAATGCTGTTATGAAACAGCATTAAAATACAATTTATGCATAGTACAGTATCACTTATGTCTTTTATTAGAGAAATGTGGAATGTTTTATAAAAGAAATTAACCATAGGGGGTAAAATTCATATTTCATATACAATTTGGCAATGGTAGTCCCACTGTTAGACAATTTTATATAAAAGAAAAAAATTAAAAATCTAATAAGCTACCTTTATACAAAGTTGCTATATCTATGCCTTTATGTAGGAAAAAAACATTTATAATGCAAATTAGGACATACAATAATCTTACAATATTATACAATGTAATGAAAATAAAAACATAACACAAAATTTGTCCTTTATAAAATGTATATTTTGCATTTACTAATGCAAATGTGGCACACCGGTGACTACTGTACTATTAATAACCAGTCCGTCATAGAATTGCAATCAATAGTGATGCTACAAAAGAATTGTTATACCCCCAAAAACTGAGAAAGTATGAATGGCGAATAGGGATATAAAGAACAGGATAGATAGATATGGTGCTGGTTTGGGCAGAGGATATTGTGGTAGGTAATAAAATAGTTGTTCATTTTTCAAGCCAAAAACATTTTGTATACATTCTGGAATTTCGTACCAATGCCTTTATTCAAATTTGGCAAACATCAGGGAAAAGGTAATTAGTACCATATACCTCACATATCAGAAATATGAATGAGATGCCAATACATCAGTTACTTCTGAATGTTGTCTCTGATGGTATGTCTATTTCAAAGATAAATGTATGTATATGTGTACATATACATATATACTTATACATACTATACATTGCACAAAACACTTGGGCATTAGGGATTAGGAACAGCACAGGGGGAAGTGGGAAGTACTTTTTAGCTTGTTAAAACTTTTACCTTGAGGCAAAAATATGGTGGCACATTATTGAGAAATTATGAAAACATAAGGCCCCTGTCCCATTTTTAATAGAACATTATTGAGGTACATTTTTATATGTTGTGCCACAGATTTCTTTGGGGGCTGGGGTGATAAACTCTAGCTTGATTTATAACATTGAACTGTGGAGTTAACATAATAACTATAACTATAAAAAAAGATTGCTTGGCAAATTTTCTTAAGTCCCAAATGTGATCTATTCTGGATATACTGGGAAGTGAAAAGTTTTTTGCTGAATCTTCTAGAGTAAAGTGCATATCTCATCACTCCACAGCAGCAGTAAATAAAAGAACTATTTGCCAATCTTCCTGGAGGGAGAAAAGGCACCATAATTTCATTTTTAAAGAAAGGTGAAACTGGGAAGTTAAAACGCACTAAAAAACAAAAACAAACACAGTCAATATCCATGTTTCCAACCCTGGTCTGGGATAAAAGCTGTTACGATCTATAATGATAAAAGAAGATTCTATTTAGGAAAATATATGAATAATTATTATATTTCCAAAACTGAAAAGTAGGATCACAGTCTAGCAACAGAACAGAATATCTAAAATTAGGTCTGTCTCAGAAAATCTGAAACATATGGCCATAATTATATCCCAATAAAATAACTCATTCTAAAATGCACCTAGTAATAGATACATTCTTCCAGGATAGAGCTTAATGCCCATTACTAGACTACTGCAAAGGAAAAGGAGTGTTCTACATTACTTTTTATTAAATAGGGACACAGGTGATTTCCAGAGACGTCTAGAAATTAACACCAGTTTTATGTGTACATCTTCCTAATACTCATAGTACCTAAATTCAAATTCTTAGCAGACAAATTGGTTCCATTTTCTTTTTTAATGCACACACTATTAAAGCATAAACTGCAATGATTACATTGGAGTTACCTAAAAAGTATAAAAACTAATTAGAATCTGGAAGGGAAAATGAAAAGGATGAGAAAAAGAAAATGAAGTATCCAACCTCCAAAATGAATAAATAGGTCAGCCCTTCCATTTGGAGGTTAATGTTCTGTCTCTACTGCTTATTTCAGAGAAAACCATGCGTACTAATTCCATCATAATTCTTATTCCACATTACAAAAATCACATAAATTTGGCACGATTAGCAAACTACTCAGAAGAAAACATAAATGCAACAATATATTAAAAATGGAAACTGCACACCTATACCACTGCTCTCTTTTTAGAGAATAGTGAACACTTTAGTAAGCACCAAGTTCACAGAAAAAAAGAGAAGAGATTCTGCTATGCACATAAACCAATGGCACTGAAAATAATAGACATCTTTAATAATTTATTTTCTTTATAATGGTCCCATTCTAATAATTTTCCTAATCCATTCACTGTCCTATAATTGTTTTTTTATTGAACAGGTTGGATGCTATATGACTGAAATCTTTTCATGCTAACTTAACCTTAGTTACATCTGTTAGATACAGATCATAATCTCAAACTTCCTCATATTTAGAGAAAACGGTAAAATATTTTGCAAGGTTACCTAACCTTCTTTTCACTCTACCTTCTCTTGTTTTCTCTAGTGTTTGGGAAACTGGAACATTCTCGATTTCTAAGAGTTGGACATATGACCTCTCGTCAGTTTATATAAGTTTCAATTCATTTTAAATCCTAAATTATGACAATCTTATTGCTACATGACTTCCACTGTACTTGCTATGCTGGCAATAACCTTAACATTCCATTGAAACCAGGGATAATCAAAGATCCAACAAGGAGTGAAAGGACAGCAGAGCTGAGGAGCACTGCAGTGGGCAAAGTGTAACTGCAGCCGTGTGACTTGAGGGAATCGCTGCTAAAGTGCTGGGGAGAGTGCCCAAGAGAAAACAGTACCTTTCGGGAACTTCGCGTGTTAAAGGTAATTTCCTTTTTTTTTTTTCTCAGCTGCTAAAAAGATCACCTATGGACACAAGTAAAATTTAAAACTGAGAGAATGTTTTTATCAACAACTTGAAAAGTAAACAGCATATAAATAAATACTGGACAAGGGCAACCCTGTTATAGAATAACAGTAAGTTCTAAATGAACCTTCAAAACCACAATTTGACAAAAATGCAAACTAAACAACAATAAACACATAATCCAATTTAAAAACTATATACAAATTCAAACATTTTAAATTGAAAAAGACATTAAGCAACAAAATACAACAGCCCAAACACCAAAGGAGAAAAACTGAAGGTGAGTGTCAATCTAATGGCACAAATGCCTCCAGAACAATGTTATTGTCAATAATCCATAGGAGACACACTTTCAAAAGATCATGGTTCAGATTTTCAAATGCTTTTGGATAAAGTGACCTGAGACTGATTCTTGAGCCTACTGTAATTCTGATTAAGATATCTGGGCATGCCCTTCCAAAGACCTCATGAGATGAATAAACACAGTATTATCTTCTTCCCTGCCTTTCAACACACCAATAACAAACCATATTCATGGACACAGGACTCTTTCTAGTAAGATGAAGGCAAAGGAGCTGACGGGTATATAAGGAGTGTGGTACTTCTATTTCCTTGACCTATGGTTTGGCTCAAGTCAAAAAGCCTACAATTAACGAAATAAAGGATTCTTCATGTTACATGCTGACCACCACATACCATGAACAGTGAATCTACAAATATTACTTTCAAAGCCTAGAGTTATCTGTTAGCAATGCACATTATCAAGAGGCTTTATAAAATGTTTGAAATGCCAACCATGACTTAGGCATGAATGATATGCATAAGTCCAGAATATTGATAAAAATCAACCAGCATGTCACTCACTTCAACTCTCATTTTAAATAGGCACTGTGAAAATAGGAGTGCTGCTGTACAGTAATGAGTTGTATATAATGAAATTAGTGTTCTTTAATGAGTACCTGCTCTACATTAATTCCCTTTAGTTAAGCACATGAAATATTAAAAAAAAACAAAAAAAACATCAGTCTATAAAAGGAGTTAGTGTTTAGAAATGAAAATGAAGTACTTGCATCTTCATTTTTTTTTAAGTTCACAAAGGTGCAAACAATGTAATGCTTTCCAGGCTCACATAGGCAGATCAGTACTATTATGTCTAGTTTTCCTAGATGTACCATCATCTCGTGGTAGTGCTTTCTGCAAATTGGACATAGCAGCAGTTTTCTCGATGTCTATCACAGCATACAGCTCTGTGCGCCTGGTAGGGGTCTGTGGAAGAGGAGTTGTAGGTGTTTTTGGAGTCTGAGGGTTGTCGGAGTCACTGCCCCCTTCCAAGTCAACCTGTATATAATTGAGCTGCCTGTGTTCTAAACTCGGGCGTCTGATATCAAAGTTAAAGACTGTCGGTATACAATCCCGACGCCTTGAATATTCTATTTTGTGAGCACTTGCTGGCACTGTTACATTCTCTGTATTTACATAGTTATGCATTGGATCTAGATTATTATGGTAGCCATTTAGAGATGGGGTCTTTGGTCCTAAATTGTCATCTTCATCCCTACTTAGTTTGCGGGCTTCCCAAACAGGAGGCAAAGATGGTAAATTTTCATAGTTCAATAATGCAGTTCTTCTCTGAGCGGAGTTGTTGATGTTTTGGGTATCTGAGGTACTGGCGGATGTCAGACGACCTCTCCGGACCCCGGAGGCACTAGGGACAGATAGCCCATTTATATTTTCATACACCAGCTTGTTAACAGAGGGTGCATCTCTTCGCTCATCACTGTCATAGCCAGTGTCCCATTCTGTGTTATTTGCACCACTCCCGCTGACTTGATCTCTTCCAATTTTCTCCATTTTCTCTTTTTCCATTAATTGCTTTTGAACAGGAGTTGGTCCTAAGACAAATCTAACTACTTCAGGTTCAAGAAGAATCTGAGGGTCCCTGTCCTCAATACTACTTGGTTCTTCTTTTGGAGTGTTGCTTTCAGCATTAGAAATCCTCGCCTCCAACGGGACATGCACAGCTGCACAGTTTTTCCGCTCTTCTTGCACACCTGTAGTATTGACATAGGTATGTACCTAAAACAAGAAAGTGAATCAGTAACTTGCTTAAAACAATAAAAATACCCAGCCAGGGTGTGGCTCAGTGGTTGAGCATCGACCTATGAGGTAACAGTTTGCCAGTCAGGGCACATGCCCAGATTGCAGGCTCAATCCCCAATAAGGGGGCAGGGGTTCATCACTAATGTTTCTGTCTCTCTCTTCGTCTCTGAAATCAATAAAAATATATTTTTTAAATCCTATCTAATAAAAGAGTAATATGCAAATTGACTGTCACTCCAAGACACAAGATAGACGCCACAAGATGGCCTGCAGGAGAGGGCAGTTAGGGATAACCAGGCCAGGAAGAGAGAGAAGTGGGGGGAGGAGGGGAGATGACCCAGGCCTGCAGTGGAAGGCAGTTGGGGGAGGGGGACCAGGCAAGCAGGAAGGTCAGTTAGGGGTAACTGGGCTGGCAGAGGGGGCAGTAGGGGGAGACCAGATCAGCAGGGGAGGGCAATTGGGGGGTACCAGTACTACAGAGGAAAGCAGTTGGGGGGGAGCATGCCTATAGGGGAGAGCAGTTGGGGGGAATCAGGCTTGGAGTGGAGAGTAGTTGCGGGGGGAAGAAAGCAGACCTGCAGTGGAAGACAGTTGGGGGCGAGGGAACCTAGGCCTGCAGGGGAGAGCAGTTGTTGTGGGTAATCAGGCCAGCAGGGAAGGCAGTTAGGGGTGACCAGATAAGCAGAAGAGGGCAGTTAGGGTAGACCAGGCCAGCAAGGGATGGCAGTTGGGGGAGACCCAGGCCTTCAGGGAAGGGAAGTTGGGGGGGAGGGGGGACGGGCAGGCCTGCAGGGGAGAGCACTTAGGGGTGAACAGGCCTGCAGGGGAGTACAGTTAGGGGTCACCAGACTGGCAGGCAGAAGTGGTTAGGGGCAATCAAGCAGAGGCAGGTGAGCAGTTGGGAGCCAGCAGTCCTGGATTGTGAGAGGGATGTCCGACCACCCAGATAAGAAGGGGTGCAGGCTGGGCTGAGGGACATACACCCACCCCTGTACAAATTTCATGCACTGGGCCTCTAGTAAATATATAAACCATGTCTGATCTTCTCAGTTAATTTTATTTTTTTGTCTAAAAATATACTATCTCTTTGAAACTTTTGTACCTACTTTTTACTAATAAAAAGGGGTGTATAAATGTACTTTCCTAGTTTGATAAAATAATAACTAACTTGAAACATTATACTTGATAGTGAAATATGAAAAAAAATTCTATAAAAAAATAAAAAACACCAGCATTTTGGTGGTATCTAGAAATTTTCATGATTCATAAATAAATATTAAAAAGGAAAGATAGGACTAGCCAGTGTAGCTAAGTGGTTGAGCACTGGCCTATGAACACAAGGAGGTCATGGTTCGATTCCTAGTTAGGGCACATTCCCGTGTTGTAGGAGGCATCCAATCAAAGATTCTCTCTCATCATTGATGTTTCTATCTCTCTTTCCCTCTCCCTCTCCTTTTCTCTCTGAAATCAAGAAATTAATTTTTTTAAAAAGGAAAAGACAAACTTATCATTATTTACAATGATTTGACTATATAAAGAAATAAACCCTACTAGATTTAATAAGACTTCTGAAAAATGCATGGACATAAAATAAATACTACCTACTAAGAAACAATCACTAAAATGATAATGAAAAGCTCAACAGTATTTGGAGAGACAATATAAAAAACATTTAGTAGCTGAAACCGGTTTGGCTCAGTGGATAGAGTTTGGCCTGCGGATTGAAGGGTCCCGGGTTCGATTTGGGTCAAGGGCATGTACCTTGGTTGCTGGCACATCCCCAGTTGGGGGTGTGCAAGAGGCAGCTGATCGATGATTCTCTCTTGTCGATGATTCTAACTCTCTATTGCTCTCTCTTCCTCTCTGTAAAAAATCAATAGAATATATTTTTTAAAACAAAATTTAGCCTAATACATAAAATTTGAACACCTCAAAAATAAAATGCAAAATTGAGAGAAATGTAATTATAGTAAATAATGTAAGAACTCATGTTCTGTGTAAAGAACACAAAAATGAATTTTAAAACAATAAAAATTTCTTAAGGATAAATGACAATGTGATTTACAAAAGATAAATACATAACTAATACATAGATAATGTTTAACCAGATACTTCATTCCTCAAATGAAAAACAGATTAGGAATATTACATAGCTCTATAAAAACATCGATAACAAAATCTACCTTCCTGCTAGTAGTCCACTAACCATAAAAGCTGTAATATAAACAGTAGCATAAATTCTGAATTGACTGGAGGTTATTATAATGGGAACTGGCCACTGTTATGTCTGCTTTATCTATAGATGCACTCTCCTGTGAACCCACCAACTACTCTAATGCTGTTTCTCTCAACACCTGCACATATTTCAGCACATGTCAACAAATATTTGATATTTCCTCTGATTCTTCACTATAAAAGTCATACACAAACAGTGAAAGCTAAATTCAAACTGACTAAAATCTTCAACTCCACACAAGTCAGACGGTAGCATGTGCTTACCTGTTCCTCTGCCACAAGCAAAGGATGTGTAGATTCTTCTCCCACTGAAGGCAAGCGAGCACTTCCCACAGAAGGGTGCCTGCTTGACGGGTGGGATGAAGCATCTCCAAATGAGGGATATCGGGGATATCCATTAGGTAAGTTCTGAGCAGCAAACCCTGGAGCTGAGTTTTTGTTTGTTTATTGGTTTAAGAAGAAAAGCAGGATACAGAGGCAGGGGAGAGAAAATAAAAATGAATGAGAATCCAATCTGCACTGACAGATTTAAGGAAGGTGTTTCTGGCAAATATAGCAGAAATCAGATTTATTATTTAGATAATGATAAGTATATAACTAATAAAAAGGAAAAGAAAGGCCTAGCCAGTGTTGCTCAGTGGTGAGCATCCATGTCAACATTCCATTCACATTTTAGATACTATGGAACAGTTAATGTGATTATATTTAAAATGTTAAATACCTTTATAATTATAGCTGATAGCTTTTTAAAACTGACAACCACTACTCTTACATTTCTAACATTTTAGAGATTAAATATCCACAGTCTATAAATGGCTGCTAATCAAAATACAAGAAGGAAAAAGGGTATTTACTTGTAGGTGTTCGAGGTGTTCTGGGGACTTCCAATTCCGTCTGATGATTATTCCTTTCAACAACTGGCTCTTCCACCACATTTATACTGTTATTTTGCATTATCTCTTGCAACATGTTAAATAATTCTTCTGCACGGGCACACTTAAAGGCAAAGATTCCTACAAACATAAACCAGAAGGGAACAATGGTTACCACATCTTTTAAAAAGATACTGGAGCGCCTATTAAAGAATACAATTATAAAATAAGCATTCTGTGTACCAAACCAAGAAAGGCCATTTAAATAAATGTCTGATAAATTATTGAAATTCCCTATTTCAAAACATAAACCCAAAACAAAGTTCACAGAATAATTTTCATTTGTCTAAGGGAGATGACCCAAAATAAGGCAGATAAAAATAAGATTTTCACACTTGCTTCATTTGCTTTTTAACACTAGGGGGAGCCAAACTCACCATTACCAAGGTGATCCTTTACCATTTGATAGGCCCTGGCTCTGTTATGCTTAATCGTTATAATAAGGCAAGGATTATCCTTCACCTCTGATAGAGAAAAATAGAGATAACTTGCCCATGGCCTTTCAAAATGTAGGTAGCAAAATAATCAAACTTGCATTGTTGGACTCCAAAATTTAATTTCTTTACCCAATAAGTTGTAACAGTAAAAACACATAACTCTGTTTACTTGGCTGGGACTAATCATTTACAGAAAATCTTAAAGTTAATATGAATCAAAATTCTGGACACAGAAAAGGTGCTTAATAAATGCTTGCTAAATGACTAGTTCACTATATCTCTTTTCTTAATGAGACACTTATTTAGGTAATTTTTTTCTACCAGAAGAAGATAAAATATTAAGCACTGTGTATAGAATAACTGAAAGAATAGTACTACTATTTCAAATGTGACAAGGTTTGCAAAAAAAAAGGCTCTGCCTACCTTGTCCAGTTTGACATCGTCGACCACTTTCAAAAGAGAAGAGATTTGAATCATAGCCATAGCGTCGCAGGCAGAGGTAGTGCCATTTCACCGAGTCACGTTTGCGAGTGTATAAGATCAGTTCTGTCTCTGTAAGTTCCATTATGCCAGAACCTAACTCATTCCCATCATCATCCACATTAATGACCTAAAAGAGAAAGTTAATTAGTGCCAACTTAATGCTTTTACTTGATAGTCAGACTCATATTTCACCGATTTGTCAGGAAAATACACTTGCTGATTTTTACTTACTCCTTTGTGAGTTTATTCACCAACCAATGTTTGTGTAGGATTAGGTAGCAATATAATACCTGGTTCATATCTGCCAAGGAACTCAAATTCCTATTGGGGAAATAAGTTCATGTTCAAATAAGGCCTTGTTCTACTGAGTTTCAGAAAATGGCCAGAGACTGTGAAGAACAGATATTGCTTAGGGAGAATTTACTACACCCCTGGAACTAGATAGTGTTGTACATGTATTTTCCCCACTTAATCCTCATAACACTCCTAAACTGCAAGTAATACTATAAAAAAATTAAACAAAGACTTCGTGATAATCCAAGATCACAAAGCTATGAAGCAACAGGGTTATGACCTACACCTAAGTTTGTACAAACCAAAGGCTGTAATTTATAGCAGATTGAGGCCAGACTACAAGAGACACAAAACAGCTGTGGATGAGTAAGGAATGGAGCATTTAGCTTTTCGATAACAGAAAACCATAGACATTTCAGAATGATGAAAGAGTAATCTGATGTCAACTGCAGGACGGATCACAGTGGTGACTCAAGGTAGGGTCCAGTTAAGAAATTATCAGGCATGAATCAATGAGTAGAGGTGGTGACAGGACTAAAGAGGAACCTATAAAATGGTGTCTTAAAGAAAGTAATATCAGGACTGTGTGGCTAATTAAATACAGAGGACCAAAGGGAAAGTATAAGATAGTTTCAGTGAAAAAATTGTCAGTGAAAAAATATCATCAAAGTGAACAAAAAGGGAAATAAAGGATCTGGAGATAAAAGTGAAAAAAGTAAGTTATATTAAGTGAAGTAAAAGAATATCCAAGTAGGCAATAAGAGAGATAATTCAAGCAGTTTTACTAACCTTAAACTTGTTCCGATGGTTATCTGGGACAGTGTCTTTATCTGGACAGCTACAACAGCTACCCATGGCTTCTTTCAGAAGACCATGTGAGCACTACATGAAAGATAATTAGAAAAAGTTATTAGATGTAGGATATAAAAATCATAAAATAAAAAAGGTTTTATAAATCATCTAACACAAGCCCTGAATTATTTTAATGAGGAAAATATAGCCCAAAAAAGTATATGGCTAGAGGTAGACTTCACACAACTAGCTAGTGAATTTTGCTCAATAATAATGATAATAATTTTGTGAAGTAGACGGCACAAAAATACCAAATTTAGTTTAATTTGCAAAGGTCTGCCTATTTTTAAATTATCTTAAAAAGCAAACCAACTTAAGGTCTCATATGTAGCACTATTTAAATAAGCAATTGAAGGAATTAATCTTTTATGGCTTACTGGAAATTCCATGTCCCTTTTTAATAAATTTACAAAGGATGCTTGACTTCTGACTTGGCTGGTATTTTTTATTACTCATTGTAGTACCCTTTATGTACTCCACCAAACTAGAGTTCATTGGTAAATATGACACAAAATCAGATTTGGAATAGTTCACTAAGAAAGACAACTCAAAATTCAAGCAATACCCTAAAGAGAATATTGACAAAACTGATAGTTGATCTATCTAAACTTTCTTTTCCACTGAAGGTTACAGATAAGAACACTCCAAATAAACAAAGGAAAAATCTAAAATGTCACTTACAAAGGAAAGAGAATAAATGTGACAATATTTGAAAAAAGCAACAAGAAGCTACAAATATTAAAAACATAAATTTGATGAAAACTTGCTTAAAATTCTTCAGTGGCTCTTTACTACATTCAGGAAAAAATTCAGAGCTTATGCCATGAGGTTCTTCCCAGCCTGGTCCCTGTCTATAGGTCTAGACTAAACTCTCCTCCTCTCCTATCCAGACATATTAAACTGTTTCCCCAGAGTATCTTATTCTCTCACACCCTTCCGCTTCTTTTCTTTCTCAAGATTTAACCCAGAGTACTGTGGGGTTCAGGAAGCCTTCTCTGACTCCACCCAACTGGGCAAATTATACTTCTTTATGTAAACTGCTCTCCCCCCCCTCGCCCAACCCCCCAAGCACTCTGGGCATCCCAGTATCAGCATCTTCCACAGTGTTTACTTAGTTAGAAACTGTGGTAGATTGTTTTCTTATCTACCTTCTTCCCTACATAAGAAGCTCCTTTCCAACAGCAATGAACCTTATTCCTTTTTGCATTGCCCATGCCTAACACATCTAGCACACAGTAGGTGCTCTAAATCTTCTGTAAGCTGAATAAACTGTACCAAACAAAGGTAAAGAATGTCTGGCAGGCATAAATATTAAGATGAAAAAGACCCAGCTGGTGTGCCTCAGTGGTTGAGTGTCAACCTATGAACCTTTCTCTGAAATTAAATAATATATAAAGAAGTCCTAGCTGGTTTAGCTCAGTGGATAGAGCATTGGCCTGTAGACTGAAGGGTCCCGGGTTCAATTCCAGTCAAGGGCACATTCCTGAGATCTAGGCTTGATTCACAGTAAGGGGTGTGGAGGAGGCAACCAATCAATGATTCTCTCTCATCATTGATGTTTCTCCCTCTAAAATCAATAAAAACATGTTTTTTAAAAAAGAGTAAGAAAATGTGATACTTGAGATATTTGCTGTTGTAAGATGACATAGATGTATACAGGTTTATAATCAGTAGGTCAGGAAAGGTGTTAATATATAGGGGAAAATTTTCCCCAGAGAGCAGGCGTTGGAGGTAGAAGTGGCTGCCTTAAGCTAGAGGCTGCAAGGCAGTATTCTGCCATTCCTAGTCTTAGCTCTGGGTGGGGGAGCACCCAAGGCATGGGACACCTGGGTCCGGGTGTGATATCCACCCTAGTCCCCCCAAGTTTTAGTTAAACAATAGAGTATCTGAACCTCCTGACAGTGGCTGTATTCCCAATCTAGCCAGTGTGTGCTTCTCCCAATTATAGATGCTTTCTAGTTTCTGGGACTCTAGACTGGCCTGGCTTCTCTAACAAGCAAGAAGAGGGAGATGGGGACGGGCAATGGGGACTTGCTCTCCCTCTCCAGAGCCTTTCCCTTGCCATTCTTCCTCCCAGAAGTCTGGCCTTTGCCTTTGCCTCTCCTAAGCTCCCAGGGCCCTTCAAAGCCCCTGTAACTTGTCTCCTGAGCCTTTACAGCCCATCTGGCTCACTTCTACCTCTGTGACTTTCTAAATAAACTTGGTTATAATTTGAAAAAAAGAAAAAGAAAAAAAAAGAAAAAGGGACAATGGGGATACACAGAGGACACCTTTACTCTTGGCTGGTTCTAGCAAGCTGTTTCATATCCCCTTTTGAAAACCTGGAAGGGGGGGGGGGGTCTCTTCTGTTTATGCCAGACATGTTACCACAACACGTGTACTACGAATCCAGGTACCGGTAAGTCCCCAGAGTCATTATTGTCTGGTGACATTCTAATAAGTAATCTTTTTGCCAAACACTTCACAAATATATTCTGTGGGTTATAGCCCAGCAGACAATGGAAGTATGAATATTAGGCCAAGATATCCTCAATAAATTTAGGGTAGAGTACTTTTAGGTACTACATATGGTCAAAGTTGGGAAACTATCTGTATGATTTCACAAACCGTATTTGACATAGGCAGGTGGTTGGGATATAAGCCAATCCTAATTGAAGGCTTTCTGGGAACTGTAGTCTTCCCAGACCTACACTTCCAAACCTAGTGATTTTTAGCTTTCCTGAGGACATGAACCATTTCTCCAGACCAAAAATGACCAAACATAGGCTCCTGTGGTTAAATAAATAATATTTGAGGGAAGGAGGGAAGGGGGGAAAGAAAAGGGAAATAAAGGATGGATCAAGGCAAAGGGGAAGACTCAAGAGGAGTTCCAAAGTGAGACATCTGACCTCTGACAGGAGGAGGAGAAATGCCTCATGCTGTGAGGAGAAAGGGAAGAGAATAAGGACATGTGGAGAGAGCATAGTAGAGAAGCTGAAAGAGATTAACATCCTAAATTTCCTTTGTAAAATAGAAGGCAAGTTTACAAAATAAGGAGAATGACAGGGAATTTCACTGAGGAGGAACTTACCCAAGAAAGGCTGCCGATTATTAAGTAGGCTGTGCTGATAGCTCAGAGAGGCTACAAAGTAAGATTGTGCTGTTTTCCTAGCTGTGCTCAGCAGTCCAAAAGGTAGAAAGTTCACTGGCCAGGATGAGTGAAGGTAAGACAAGAAAATTAAAGAAAGAATATTGGCAACACGAAGTTGGGAGGGAGGTATTGAAATGGTCTGTTCAGGATAGAAGAAGAGGGCTAACGAAATGGGAGAAAATGCAGGCAAAAAGGAACAGGAAGCTTTAGTAAGATTGAAAAACAGGCTTAGTATTGAGTGAGAGACTGAAATAACTGGAACAACAGGCAGTTGTGGTCAATTTCTAACATAAAAGGAGACTTATTTTAGTGTGGAGTTTTCATCCACATCTCTGACTGCTCTTCGTGAACCACAAACTCCTAGGCAAGATACTAGATATTCTGCACTTATGACTACCAGACTAATACTTTGAGACCACATCTGAGTTATGTAAGACCTAATAATATGCGCTAATACTGTAACACTTGATGAGAAACCATATGATCTCATCATCTCAGAGTGCCAAGTTCATTACTCAGCAAAAACACAAATAGACTTACTATGCTCCCTTAAGAAAGCAACTTAGGAAAGTAACTAGGGTACATTCAAGAACAAAAGATAGCTACTGTTTGGGAGGATCAATATTGCAACAAGTTTGCTGAATATTTTATATTAGTAAATACTGTTTTAGTTTAATTCAAGTCCTTTGTCCTTATTCCTTGAAGGTGGGAGGTGATAGCAAATCAGCAAGCAGAATGAATCCATTCAAGAAAAATTATTATGGGACAAATTGATAGTAATACAGTCTTAGTAGAAAATTTTAACTCCCCATTAGCATCTATGGATTGATGCCAAACAAAAAATCAACAACCTTAAATGATACACTAGACCAGATGGATTTATTTACAGCGGGCATGCAAATTAATTCAACAAAGATGGCTGCAGCCATGGAGCGAGCAAGAGGTTTCGGTTTCCCTGGTAATAGTGGAAGACAAGCTTTCAGCACTGGCCAGCCTAGGCCTCCACTCAAGGCTACAAAATTTCAATTATAGAAGATAAATAAATCCCAACAAAAATGGCTGTGGCTCCGCTCAAGGCTACAAAGTTTCAATTATGGAAGATAAATAAATCCCAGATTCTAGGACCTCTGCTTGGGTCATCGGGAGGCATGGCCGGCCTGCAAACCACCACAGGTCCCTTGCCCAGGCCGCCTCACACACCATGGGAACCCCCACCCTGATCCGGGACACCCTTCAGGGCAACCAGACAGCCCCCACCCATGTACCAGGCTTCTCTCCTATCTAATAAAATAGTAATATGCAAATTGACCATCACTCCAACACACAAGATGGCTGCCCCCATTGGTCAATGATGGCTACCCCCATGTGGACACAAGATGGCCACCACAAGATGGCCAGCAGGGGAGGGCAGTTGGGAGACCAGGCCTGCAAAAAAGGGCAGTTGTGGGCGATCAGGCAAGCAGGGGAGGGCAGTTGGGAGGGTCCAGGCCTGCAAGAGAGGGAAGTTGGGAGCAATTAAGCCTGCAGGGGAGAGCAGTTAGGGGTGGCCAGGCTGACAGAGCAGGAAAGTTGGGGGCGACCAGGCCTGCAGGGAAGAGCAGTTGGGGGGGGAATCGACCCCTGCAGGGGAGAGTAATTGGCAGGACCAGGCCTGCAGGGGAGAGCAGTTAGGGGGTGACCAGGCTGGCAAAGGAGGGAAGTTAGAGGCAAACAGGCTAGCAGGGGAGCAGTTAGGCATCAATCAGGTTGACAGGGGAGTGTTTAGGGGGTGATCAGGTTGGCAGGGAGAAATGGTTAGGGGCAATCAGGAAGGCAGGCAGGTGATCAGTTGGGAGCCAGTAGTCCTGGATTGTGAAAGGTATGTCTGACTGCCCATTTAGGCCCGATCTTACCGGGCAGT